TTTGGAGACCCTCCAGCTTTCGTCTCATTATTTCATCGATCACAAAGTTGAAAAGGAATGGAGAGAGTGGGCATCCCTGACGGACACTGCTTTGTGTGCGGAAGCTTTTGGAGAGCTCTCCGTACACTCTCACACGTCCGGAAGTCTGAGAATACAAAGAACGTATTATGTTTACAAACTTCCGGGGCATTCCTTGGTGGGCAAGCGTCTCAAGAAGAACAGACCGATCATCCGAGTCGAATGCGCCTCGGAAATCCAGGAATACTAGAATCGTGGGTCGCTTATACGTATGGCGTTGTTCTAGCACCTGACGCAGTGTGAAGATTTGGTCAACACAACCCCTACCAGGCCGGAATCCCGCTTGCTGCTCTCGAGTCAGCATCTCACGAGCCACCGTAAGGCGACGAAGCACAATTGACGCCAACAGTCTTGTTACAACCGGGGTCAAGCTGATCCCCCTGTGGTTACCACACTCACTACGCGCCTCTTTTTTGAAAACGGCCACTATCACCGATTCTCCCCAGTTGTCTGGGACAGACTCCTTTTCCCAAATGCAAGCAAACAGGTCGGACAAGGGCTGACTGTCACGAAGAGACTGGACCTTACCGTGGTGTGACGGTTTGCGCACCTCAGCGATCCATTGAGTTATACTGGAGAGTGTCCCGCGGCACTCACAGAGTCTCTCATACCAGGTTGGTCAATGGTTAGAGGTCTGACGAACACAGTCTCCAGGTTGGGGGTTGGAACATGTGGCGACTTGTAGAAATGAAATGGTAATGCATTTGCATTTCCCGCCAAACACCGCTGCCTTGCGGTTAGGCTTTTGAGCCAAAGGCTTTGGTTGAGTAATCGTCCTCCGTACAACCATGAATAGCACATACACAAACCTCACGCTACGGTCTTATGTTGGACTTTATTGGACCGCAATCAACTGCAGTGCCATCGAGGGGGTCTCCCGTGGTAGAGTATTAATGCAGCTTGGTATATGGATCCGATGAACGAAACAGAGAGGGAAGCTCGTAAATTATTGTCTGCGTTTTCGGGAAAACGACTCATTTGCTGAGATACAAAAAATGGTATTGAAATATGCTTTCATAAAATAGACAACATGTGCTACCGCAGTGGAATTTGATGGAAGTTTGTACTGGAAGAACCTTGCAGCATAACACTCCTTGCTTCGTATTGCCAAAGTGTACGAAATGTAAAAGGTTATGTACATCGAATACCTCATTTGATCTATCAGCGTAACAAGTCGGCCTGCATGCCCATTTTTAGAGGACAGCAGGGGCAATTTCGGTCCACGTTCTTAACGAATTGGTTCAGTGTATACATATTCAAGACATGCTTCTCCACATAGGAAACGCATAAACATGGGAGAGGCGTTTCAGAAATACTGTCAGGCAATAGTTGAGAAAATGTCGATACAGCCATTTCCGTTTAACACTTGTTCTATTTTTGTGTTCCATTTTTTAAGTGGCTGAACACACCAGTCTCTCGTTATCATCTACTGACTAGCAGCTCACTATACCTAGTTTCTTCTTTCACAGTCGGGCGAACTTCGTTTTCAAAGGTAATGATCATCGCTATCCGTGTTTTCCAAGCTGCTTATCTAGCGTTATCCCAGAAGTAACATGGACTTCGACCTAAATGCCGGATATGCTTCCATAAAAAGAGAGTAAGTTATATCTGATTTCAAAGCTATACTGTCCATCAGGTTCATAAAAAATGTCACAACACCCCCGCCCAAAGTTCCATCTAATCCTTCCGAAGGCGACGTTCCTGTGAAGCGAAGGCGAAAACAGGAGAAACTAGCCACCAAGTCTTTCGGTCCAATGAAATTATGCCCTTACGTCGTAACACGTAAGTCTGATATGGTTGTTCTGCTCAGTCCGTATACTGATTTTTAGTTGTCTTTCATGCTGATACCGTACTTTTTCTTAAGTTTGATAGTTCCACCTAAGTTCAGAGCACAATAGTCGCGATTAACTGTTTTGATATAATCTTTTGATATAATCTTATCTTATACAATTGGGTCAAGATAGCTCAGTGATTTAGGCGCCAGCTTACGCACCGGATTGTCCGTGGTTCGAATCCAATTTCAGTATCTCGACTGCTCCTGTTTAGACTTGGACTACCTGGCATTATCCCAGCTCTCGTGCCTCCTTTCATTGACATGACAACTACGCACCGAAAGAGTGGTACAGCTGAGCGATTATTTTCCTTTTTACGATTACAAACGTGATACAGAGATAGTTTTCGGGTAATCGGTTTTTGTTGTTATCGATGGTGCACTGAATCTCCCTCTCAGACGAAGTAATCATCGGCGTTTTCTTGGAAGTAGAATAAGATTGGACACCGTCTGGTTCAATACGTTCTGACTGTTGATCTTTGAATGTTTGAGCGGCACCCGATTATTTACACTGAGCCACTTGTTTGGCTGATCTAGTAGTGGTTATTATGGTGGTTTTGCAATTGCCTCATTCATATGCTTCGCTTCTCCGGTTATGATGTAGAATTGAAGGGCTCAGCTGTTTTCCCGAGCAAACACCAGATCGTATGACCCATACTCTTGAACTGGAAAACCATGAACAATCGGTTTATCCGTCAAGTTCGAGTTGCTCTTTTTGGTACCGATGAAGAGAACTGTCAGTTGTGCTGCACTTAGTTTTTTATGGAGTGAAACTGTTGGACGACGTGTGCCACTTTTGGACTGAAATGTTAGAACTCAAACAATTGTATTTGTTGTTGTGCAATAATGTGGGGGAACGAAAATGTTGACATATCAATGGGAAAAATGGTATTTGTTGAGTAGCTTAGGCAAAACATATTATCGTCAGCTTATTCCGCATACCGAAACCGCGGTCCGACTCCCAGTGGACAACGATTACTCGCAGAATCACATGCCACTTGGCAAACACCGTACATAACCAAAAATTCCGGTGCCATCTGAACGAAAGCATCAGCCACCTTGTGCTCCCACTGTTATTTTCTGGTACCGTTACTATTATTGTTACTATCATTATTATCATTGTTATTATTACTATGAGTGCTGCTGATCACACACTGTGCAGGGGGAAGAACTCGATACTGCAATTTCCGATGTTATAAGAGTTGTTAGATGTGCTCTGTGGATCCGGGCATGTATGCATTTTTTGTGCACATATGATTGCGACCACAAGAGACTGTCGGATTCATACGGTCGAGCTGGGAATATCTCCCAAAGCTGGTTCGACAAGGCCTTAAGCAAGCAGAACATTGTCCGGCGTGTGACACAACAGTTGTTTTGGTGCGCAAGTAAAGCAGCGATAAGAGGAGAGTGCGTATCTCTGAGAAATTGAATTTTTCAGTTGAATCAAGTCGTTAGTATGTCGATCAGTGCCAGGACCTCTTTTTGTGGTACAGTAAATAGTGATGCAATGAAGAGACAAATGCGCAGCATCCCGAAGATCTAATCACCGAAGTTTGTCCAATACTGGTTTGTAGGTATGGAGACTGGTCGACGGAGAGTACCTGTAATGTTAAGAGGACCAGTAAGATTTACACACCCAAAGATTAATTTTTCACTTACCCGATTATTCAGAAGTCTGTTTTGTGGATTCGGCTTAAGTCAGGTCGCTCATCACATCAGCAATGAAAGATACGCGATTCAATATTTTTTTAGAGCTTATGGCAATTCTGCCTTATATCTTGGACCCGGAGGTTACATGCGACTGTATCGGCCCCACTTCTGTGATAAAGTAGACAGTATAAGTCAGGCTTGTACAGCGAACGATTGGTTCTTACTTGGTGAATTCTTTTCATCTTATTCTGGCAGCATAACCTTTGGAGCAAGAGCATACCTCATTTGAATTTGTCGCCGGGTATGTGGAGTTTTTGACCTCGCAGCTTTCTTCGCAATTAACCATGAAACTAGTGGGAAAGTCTATGGACTATCACCGCTTTCGGCACACAGATGCACAAGTAGCTGCTCGCAATCGTCCACTGCATCGTATTTGTTCTGCTCAGCTTTCCAGCAGAACCATCGACTTAAAACCACCAACGTTACCCTCGGTATGAGAGGCCTAGCTCTCCCTAACACAAGTTAAGTTGGAATTTAACTTGGATCCAGCATCGTTAATGGTAGCGCGTTTGTCCAAGAAACGTTTTTTGAATCGTTAAAGACTGACTAATCGCGCACGCATCATCAATGACGCAATGTGCTCTGGCCTGGACGTATAGCTCCTGAACTGGTATCGGAAAGGCTATTTCCTCGATTTGCTGGAACCGTTGATCTATGGAGTACGTATTTGGATATGAATTCCAAATCAGTTGGATCCAATTTTCACAAACATCCTACCCGGGACATGTGAAATGCTGTTAGAAATACCCTGGAATAGATGCGATCGGAACAAAGATGTTGACATGTTGGTCACAACTACTCCTGGTCGAGTTTAGTAGAGTTTGAACGTTCGATCTCGCCCATTCTCGATGAATATGATTCGTACGTTTTATGTAGGATGAATCCATTTCGCCAGCAGCCCCATTCGTTCTTGAACGGACTTGAATCCAGGTTATAGGTCGACCAACTCGAGGCAATAGTCTCGTTTCGGTGGGGTAAGCGGTGTGCTGTTTCGTGAGATAAAAATGCTGGAAATCGTTCACTGTCCTTGTTTATGAATTGACTCTTTTACCTCTAAAAATTGAGTGAAATTATCATCAGGGGAGGACACAAACGATGCGCCAAGGTAAAGCCACTCGCTTCACATGCTTTAAATTTTCAAGTTCTATGATGAACACATATGCTGCTAAACCATATGGTCTCTGCGGGTGGGTATTGCTCCGGGGATGAGAAATCGTGCTCTCAAATTCCATGTGGAAATAAAGTAGGGTTTGTTCTGCTTGTTCAGGATACTAACGCCAAATCGCCATGACCCTGCAAAATTCTAGGCTTATTTCGTCCCAAAAATGTGTATTGCATGCACTGTAGTGTTGCAGTTGAGGGCGGTTTGCCTAGACTGATTCGAAAACAAGACTGGACTTCCTAATAATTGGGGAAATGGAAGGTCGATTCATGGGCATCTGAGGTATGCTGGACCCATTACGCGCTCTCTGATACACTCGAAGTTAATTGATCCGTGTCTCATCCACCGCTTGTCTCTAAACGTCAGTGGTCGGGTTTTTGTACTGTTGCTTATTCATCTCTGGCTTACACCTCCATTCACTGTAGTGCAAAACGAGGTTGTGGTATTAATCACCAGATCCGTCATCTGATTCAGTCAGAAAACGTGGAGTTGATAGAAAGTGCTCACACTCGACCCATATCGGCCCTATTGAAACACAAGAACGATTGCTGGACATTGTTCTGTCTGTGGATTATTTTTGCTTGTTTAGTGTAACATTCAATCAGATTCAAAGACAATATTTCCAGCCTGGCTTTCTGGTCGACTGGTTTCGTGCTTATGGTCGTATTCATTGATGACTCGAATCTACGTGCGTGCCTTGTTCCCTTTGCCTGCCCTGGCAACACTTTAACGCGCAGTTCATTAGCGAGCAGTTCATTGTGGTAATAGAAGTGTGCTTCTTTGTTCGGTTGCAGGTGTTGACCCGCCTATATTTAGCGTACCGTCGCTAGTAAGTTTCTTTTCATATAGACGTAATACACTACTAGTAAGGTTGTTGGGAACTCTTCGAAGAACTTCTAGCATCTTTATGAGTACTGTATTACGTCTTTACAATGTATTGCGACGTCTCAAATATCATACTAACTGAAACATGAAGCAGCCCGGTGCAGCATATTCAGTTAAAGAACATCATGAACGAGGGATTCAGCTAGGTTCCAAGTGAACCTCTTTTCAAAACCGATTTCGTATGCTGATGATTGTTTTTCATACAGTCATCTTCCTGAGAGCACCGGCAAGTTACCAGTAGGTCGTGTGAAGTCGTGCTACTGGTACCGTGGTTAGTACTATGAATTATATACACCAAATCAACTCCCACTTGCACGGAAACTTGTGGAACTTTTGGTAGGTTTAGACCAACTTCCACAACCTGTGGGAGTGTACCATATTTGACGTTAGCTATAGTTTAAGGGGTTATCGTATCCACGCGTGATTCCTCTTGCTTGTTTACATGGAACGAGAGGCATTGAACGTGACCGCTGACAGACTCGGTGCCACCACTACTTGCGTAGCTTGGTAACCTAGCGTCTTGTCGGTAATAGACGAGAGTATGTGCTGCCCGTAGACTCCGATGATAGTGAAACGAGGCACCGTGTGAGCTTTGATTAATAAGGGGATGTGGGTGTAGGTGTGTTTACATCAGTTTAATATTTTACTCTTATCGTTCGTCGTCCGATGGTAAGGTAATTCGGTGCTAGACCCTCCTCATCCAATGCCCTATTATCACACAGGTTCATCCACAGACATTTCCCCACAAGAAGTAACAGTAACGCCTCACTAAAGCACCTTTGAAGAGGGTTCGCTATTTTGTATTATCTGCAACGGTGTTCCACTTCACGCGGTGCAACTACGCTATGGGGGACTACTTCCATTTCTTATCAGATTTCCGGATTCTCCTTAATACAAAATCTCGTTTAGAGTGCTTGATTTCCAACCGAATGGGACTACGAGAGGTAACTGGACTCGGGCTACGGGTAACTGGAAGACTGGAGTTGTCAGTTCCACTGTATGTTGCACCGGCTGGCGGATGGTGCTGATGAGGCCATTTGAGACCATTGTAATCGTTAGCACCTGTTGTGTCTGAGATAGATTCAAAACATTTAATATCTTCCGTTTCAGGATCTAATACGGTAGCATCATCGGAAAAGTATGAATGATGGCTACGAGAGCGTGATTCATATATACGTTTCGTTCTGGAGAAAGTCAGTCGCTCAGAATTTGGCTTAGACTCATCAGTTTGCTCCAAACATTGTTTCTTTTGGACCTTGATGAACTTAGTCATTCCATCATATGGTCGCTTCGAACCCAATGGATACTTCGTCTTTGAAACCTCTAAATTTTCCTCACTGGGTTTTGAACGAGTGACCGACGATGATTTGGTTTTGGACACGCTGCCCATGAATTTTCGACTGCGAACGCTTAGAACTGACACAGGACTCTTTCCTCGCGTATTATTAGTAGACTGTGAAGACCGCGATGAATGTCAGTGACTAGCAGCTCTACGCTTCATAGCACTAAGTTGAGTTCGATCAGAACGGAATTTCGGATCACGCATATGTGAAGTCTGAATGCCTTTTGTTGTAGTTGTTCGTGCAGGATGTATTAGATTTTGAGTTGGCGCGTTGCTGGGTCGTCGAATCGTACTGAAAACTTCAATGCTCGGTCACCTCGATTGTAACCCCGTTTCTTCCAATTCCTTTTTCTCTGTCCAACTTCAGCCTTTCCGGAACCTTGCTCAAATCAAAACAACAGCACACTTGTCTCACGGACCTGTCCGTTTCTAGAAAAGGGTTGTCGGTATAGCCACGACGTAGGGGCTGCGCTGGCGAGCAAACGTCCTGATATATCGGGTAGCTGCCCAGTTCTGGCCAGTTTGGGACGCTGTGTTGCCGGTCCTTTCTGCCGTTGGGCATCCAGCCATTCCATGTTGAACGTCTCGGCGGTTGTCACGAATGAAGTCACAGAATCCTACAATAATTCACTAACTCCAGAAGTTCGGACTCTCCTGTATAAAAGGCAGTATGACTTTAACCGTGCTGATGCCATCACTCGAAAGCACTCGAGTGCTAATAAGCCTCATGATAACCACTCCGGAGCTGTACCCAACGGCGAACCAGCTGACAGCTCGGAATTAGTTCCCAAGATAGGCATGATTACGGATGAGGATTTGATCAAACCAAGACCACGTGAGAAAAAACAGGTCAGTTTCGTTAACTCTTGTTTTATTTTGTGCAATAATATTCCACTTTTGAGTGAATTTCAGAATTAAAAACTGATACGAACTTTGTCTCAGTGGTTTCCCGAGAAAGACTCCTAACAGAACCCTGGAAAGGTACCCGCGACAGGTGTTCGTTGTTAGGGTAACGAGCAATATACTCTTGATGATTAATTTATCCCAGAAACTGGTATCTAGAAGATCCTTGGCTTTATGTTGTTTCCTGATCTGATTGCTCCTCAAGCCATATACTCCGTCATTGTTATGTAGGCAGCAGGATATTTGCGCTAGTATTTTCGATCAGAGCGTCAGTACATCCCACTGAACTACATGAAAACCACTTAAGATCTTGTCACTTTTTGCCTGAGGCGTTTTCCTTGTGAAATGTCGAAAATAAACCCGACTACGGGTTTTGCTGCTCCCCGTGAGAAGCAGTTGTCGATCACACGTCAGCATGCATGTTCCCGTTACTGTTCCGACTATCTCATTGATCCCTGACAGGTTAGGAAAGCAAACTCGTCAAGTAGATGAACAACAGAAGGTATCTCACAAATATCCATACTCTCAGTCCGTATATTTCGTTGAACCGGGCTGACAGATCCTTTCAAAAGCCAACAATGATGCTGTTCCATTCAGTAGTAGCACGTCTTTTGCTATGGGAGATGTAGTGGTTTATGCACATCTACAACCCCCTCAACTACATTAGCGAGTTTATCATGCTATAGTGGCCAGTGCATAGATTTCGGACGAACACAGCTCTGTGGCCCTCCGGACTAGGTGTTTAAGCGTGTATGGCAATGTACTCCCTGAAAACTTGTACGACCGCTGCCTCGTGGTCAGGCGTTTAGGCCAAAGTCTTTGGTTGTCCGTCTGTGTAGATCTAGTGCCCTGATATTACCTAAGTTCGAGTACAACCATGAGCTTCACAGCCGAATACACTGTCTTGTTATATCCACCGTCTCCTTCCATCAACCTGATCGCCTTGTTATATATAGTAGGACGGGAAAGTGAAGGAAACTGATACAGTTAGCGCCCCTGTTCTCACACTTTTGCATACTTCTTCTCCACCCTACCTCAATGTGGGTACTAGCTTTGTTCGTTCTATCCCACTCTGAGTAGCAACTTCTGCACGTTCTTTTGTAGTAGCAACCCCAAATACCTCAAAACCGATTTTCAAACCTCTAAACTCGATCTTCAAGCACTCTGAAAAATGCACGAAAATGATGTACCATTGCTCATTCTTTGGATATCTGCACTTATGCGTACTGTTTCTCAGAAACAAGGACACAGAACGCAAGTAGTGTAGTTGAGCTGACTGCCCCTTTACTCTCCTTCCTCTCCCAGCTGCGCAAATCTGGTGATGCAAAGACTACTACAGATTGATCTGCCTGGTTCGGTATTGTTTTCGGCCATGGAGGGAAAGCGTCCTTGGTTGATGGGACACCTCCTTGCTAGTCACCTCTGCCCGATTTGTTTTGGTAACGTATGTGAAAAATCCCAAGATAGAGAGGTCCGTTGTCAAATCTGCGTACGACTCAGCGGACTGTAGCTCCTAGCCTGTCATATACAGCTTCTATGTTATTGCAGACTCAGCGACAGATCAACTCCGGTTGCAACCACAATGCAACCTGATGCGTGGTCCCACGCCAGGTAAGACAGTGTCTCCGCAGACCAGACCATACTTCAGCATGGTAAACCGAATAGACGGAGGAAGTGAATAATGCTGGATATGTCCGAAAGTTGTTACGCTTGATTCGTTTACCAAGTTTTCGAAAGCTTCTTGTCAGTGAAACCATCAAGAACTACAATGGCCCTCCGATATTCAGCAGAATAGAACTCTCGAACCGTTGGACAGAATACTTTGAACAATGAATTATGTTGACCACGTGCTACTTTCCATCTGGGCTGCAAGTCTTTACCGGGCTGTAAACATGGCCTTCGTCCCTTGTCTGTTGATCAGTGCTTCTAACCACGTTTGCTCAGTAGGGGATACCTCAGAAGTTTGTGATTGTAATCAACCTCATGTCCACATACATTTACCTACTTGTGTCACTTGTGAGGTCTAAACGGTACATCACTCAATCTGAAAGTTGCATGCACCAGGTCAGAGTGTGGGTTATGTTGAATGAACATGGTTCCTGCGAACGGACAATCTGAAGAGTTTTCAGACTTTCGGTCATTGAAGCGTTGCTGTTATCGGATAATGTCAGCGAAATCGTAACGAGATCATTAGAAGATGGATGTTTGTTTGTACCGCAGGTACTTCATTCGAAGACGGTACTCAACATCAACTGAGGTGACGCCGTCGTGTGCTACGCATTGTAGTATCATTTGCCAAAACCAGTGTTGTTCTGTGTCCCTTCTTCAGAATAACACAAACTGTTGAGTGGGCAACGTGTGCCTATGTGGAAGGGTGTTAAAGAGGTTGCGAATAGTTAGACTTTTGTTGGTGGGTTGCCTTTGACTGGCTTGGCTAGAGCCATTGCAAGAAATGCCGTCCCACCGACGTCAGCGGGGTTCCTACTGTCAGTTTGTGTTTGGACTTTCTGATAGAATAGCCGATGTTATAGATATCTTAGCTAACACCGCTTCACCACTTCTCACCTGAAGGCTCTAAGCATAATTAAACAAGCCTCCTGGTTGTACGGTAGTGAAGCATTAGGCTGAACACTGGTATTGTTGTCTGTGTTAATGATGACGAAGTAACTGTGTGAATACTGATTAACTTTATTGCACTAACTAACGAACCCTTACCTATCTTCTCACTTTCATCCAGATAGACTTTGTGAACAAATTGTACCTGGCTCCACTTACAACGGTACGTATTCCGAGTGACAGTATGTTGATCATTGAGTTATGCGATCCTATTCTCGTAATATTTCACCAAGCGTTGCCCAATATGTCTGTATTTACTTTTTGTTTCAAGGGCGCATTTAAAGCTGCGTTTCTTGGTGCCGATTCGCTCTCAGTGGTTTTCGCTTCTTCTTCAACGATTCGAATGGAAGGGTGACTTCGAAACTGATGTTTAGGTGGAAGTTGGAGCAGCGTTGATAAAGGACTCAAACGTGTAGAATGAAAACCGTAGAGTAGGCACTGGGTGCGTGAAGCGAACTTGTTTGCTGGAAGTGTTTTACCAGTTGATCTAACCTCTGTCGCACATATTCACTTTTCTCGGTGAAGCTTACTTTGGCTCGCTCCTGCTGGAGGATTAATCTGCTCTATCAATATCCCATACTGCAACTGCCCATACCCGACGATCTGCAGCAAGTTATGCACAGTTAATGACCCATTCTTGTTTCCATTGTTGGGCGCCGTAGATGGATTGGAGGCTAAGATGGTCGGTTTCTGATTTAACAGCTGGGTTAAAGACTTTAACTATTTCATCTCACTGTCGAGCGATCACGGTCGATGTATGCAGCTAGTGCCATCGGACCACTTTGGAGATCCGATCGTCCTACCTTGTCTTGGATGTACTCTCCTGTGATCAAATACCCCTCCCTCCTATGTCTCTTCGCATCACCATAGCGAGATCCAGCTTCCGTATAAGAGCATCGGTCAGACAGGGTTGTCATGCACTCGGACTGCAAAGCATCCTCTTCTGGCGGCATCCTTGTGCGTGTCCACTTGGATTTCGCTGTTATTTGTCACCCTTGATTAGTAGATAAACGACTGATGCATACAAGCGCCGTCACTGAGCGCTTTGCCTGACGACCTTTGATTTCGTCCACATACTTAATGGATATCAATTTGAGTTCGTGTAGAAAATCATCCGGATTGCCCTGTTTCTAATGTTCATCTTTTGGGTTTTGTTTCAAGGCGGCAGCTTAGCTTCACTGTTTTCGACCCTGAAATGCGTTCATCTTTTAGGTGCCTATGCGTCAGATACCCCTCTTTCGGTCGGTATTTTGTGCATCTCACATGCGGTAGTTGGATTGTCGTCTTTTTGAAGAAAAGTTAAGCAAAATTATGCTGACTATAAATCTGATAGTAAAAATCTGTATCCCAGTGACACTCCAGTTCGGATGCTGTCGTATTTTTCCCCAGGTTGGTAACTTACCATTTCGGCGTATATGCAAACGTTTTGGAGCAGAAATCACTTGCGGTGAGATGGCATTGGCTACGCAGTTGTTGCAAGGAAGACAAAGTGAATGGGCCTTGCTTCGTCGACACGAGTCAGAAGAGCTGTTTGGTGTGCAGGTTAGTTCTGTACCATACCAGCGCTAGTAGTGTAAATTTGAGTCCTGTGTCGAACTCGGCTGTCTTTTATATCATTCCAAACTTGTTTCGGTGTTTTATTTGGCTGAACGTTTTCCAATTGGTGTGAAACGCCATAATACCCTCGAGAGTTGACAGATGGACTTGCAAAATCGAGGAATTCAGATAGATGTATCTCTAGAAAATGCGATGGTTTTGGATCTATCGTGATTTGCGATGGAAATCTTCCTGATGCCCTTCTTCGTTTGCGAAGGTGCTAATAGAAACACACTTTCCGATGAGGGGATTTTGAGCTCTATTTCGACCCGATCTCGAGATAGCTCAGTGGTTAAGGCGCTAACTTACGAACCGGAAGGTCTGCATTTCGACCCCGGCCTCTGTATCTGGACTGCTGCTGTCTGGGCGTGGTGAATCTGGTGGTATCTCAAACCTCATTCTTCCTTCGGTGACGAGGCATCTACACGCCGATAGTTTGTTACAGTTGAATGATGAAGCCCAACGATTTGGGCTCAGTACTGCCTGATGCTAGGAATGACCCTGAACTAATCTTTCGCGCCACGGTTAAAAGTTTTACCAGCACAGTTCCGTTTTCGGCAAATAGATATTGGTCTATGGTATGGGGACCGAATGCAGTCCTATTGTTCGTTACAACCAGAATAAAAGTTAATAAAACCTGCCCATAGCTAAGGGTGGAAGGAGAAATAACCAATGTGGTTAATTGGACTACGTATAGATTGATGGCACCTTATAGAAAAGCCATGCAGTTGATGACTGCAAATGAGTCTCTGTTCTCACAAGTTTCACCTCTAGTTCAAATTTCCTAGCTGTGTGAATTCCTTGGCGGTCACATGGTCCGAAGCGTAATAGACAATTTGATAACCAGAGGGTCACGGAACCGACTCTTCGACGCTCATTTGACAGCCCCAAAAGGTTAAAAGGCCTCTTGTGGCCGGGCCTATTTAGTCAACGGAAGACTATGGGGTTTTGATCGTGCGGTTATACACTTTGTTTTCGCAACCATGCATCCGCAAGGAGTAAACGTGATTCCTGGTTTTGGCCCGCACTTTCATTTTACTGATGCAAGGCCCAACTTAAATGTTACCCATTATCTTGTATCACTCTGGAACCTCCAATGTGGAGCTGGCGTTTTTTGTTCGGTTTACTTATCTTGGCTGCCGAATGACTGTGCTGTGGAAATCAAGGTGGTAAATGCATGAACGAACCACAAGCACTACTCACCAGTGTGCATCACCTTTGGCCTCCGCAGAAGCCCGTAAGAGCATTCTTTATGGCTATGGGTCTTGTCCTCTCCAATCCGAGGAACTTAACCCGATTAAAATATGTGATCATCGATTTCCTCATGGCATATCGGACGCTAGCTGGTATGATATATTTTTACTCAGAATGGTGATGCGACTGCTGTTGCTGCCGCTAAACTTCTATCACTCATCTACCTGAGTAACATTTTGACTAAGCTGCCTGTATCCGCACACTTTTTCAGCTCCGTTCTGGATTGTCGCTATAATGAGAGGATCGAGAAGCACTCCGTCGCAGTTATCCTACACTGCCTAATGCATTGCTAAATTACAGTCGTATTGAAAAATTAGTAAAATCTTTGCTTTTCACGTTCAGACAGTTGCATAAAATATTGCATTGACCCATGTGTATACGCCCTCTCTTCTAAAATAGATTCATTTTTGTGCACGCTGTAAATAGCCTGTAGCGCTGGGCTACTCATTACTTATCATGAGTTCGTGGAGCAATAAATTCCTCTAACGCCTGGTTGATTATAATTGCTCATCATCCTTTGGTGTGGACTCACCGGAATAATTACGCCAGAGTAGGAGGACGATAGTTCAAACGAGAGTGGGTGACCATGAACGAAATGCCTATCCCGCAAAACCCCAAAAGTGCAATCCAAATAAGATGCTTCGATTTCATCCGGCACGTTGTCCATGAACAAGCAGCTCAGTCGAATTCTATTTCATAAACGCCGTGTTTTACTTGTCTAATCGGTAGTTGTAGTACAACATTTTCGTGGATTGTAAACTATCTCCAGCCAGACAGGACACGCCCACAATCGTGAACAGTTGCTCAATAAGGAGGCAGTGAGTCCAGAGTTCCTGCTGAAACGCGGTTTAGTACGACTGCATGCCGACCATTCAGACGTAAGACGTGTTAGGATCAGCGCTTCCAGCCAACAAGAGTTGCCCCACAAAGCTAATCAGAACGTGCAGGAAATATATGGTCGTGCTGGGAAGGCCTCACTGAAAGCATGAGCGTGGGTATTACCAACCTTAAGCGCACCACGGAACGGCGTTCGCATCGAGTTTTCTGGACTAACCCATGAACAGTATTTGTTTCCGTTGTGAATGCATGTTACAAACGGCCGGGTGGCATGTCTGTGCGTGCGATTTCAGCTATTTCAAGTATTTGGACTGAAGCATCTTATTTACGGATTCTTCGCCCGGAGCTTTGGCGCCGTGCACGGGTTCCGCAGTCAAATCCGACCATTTTTACGGATCCTTAATGAGTGATCGCGCCTGTACCACAACGTTGTATTCTGGTCATCGCTGTCGCAATTTGTCTCATTAGAGGAGAGAACTAGATAAACGTAGTCCAAATGAAAGTGAGAGATAATCAAAGAGCTGTTCAAGCGCTCGTTGCTGAACGGTTTTGTCCAGCCACTGGCCGGATGGTGGCGCGTTCGAAACTCTCTGATGCGTAAGGTTGATCATTCCAAATAGCGATGAAGCTTTTCAAGATTAGCTTGCTTCACTGACAAGACAAAACATCATTGAAAATGAAAGCTACAGCTGTTCAAGCGCTCGTTGCTGAACGGTTTTGTCCAGCCACTGGCCGGATGGTGGCGCGTTCGAAACTCTCTGATGCGTAAGGTTGATCATTCCAAATAGCGATGAAGCTTTTCAGCGTAGATTAGCTTCACTGACAAGACAAAACATCATTGAAAATGAAAGCTACTGTGTGAGTAAAAATCAGTCGGCCCTGAATTGATTAATATAACCGGTGGGAAATAGGACCTAGCAGTAACATATCCAACTGAAAGAGTTCCTTTGAGAGCGTGAGCAATGTTAACCAGTATGGCAAAAGCTTCGTGGCTTCTGCAACATGCTTTTCTGCTGAAACTAAGTTGAATAAATCCGGTTAAACTCATTGAGAAAAATACAGTGTCACCCGACAAATCAACTTTGTGGTTTCACCTCGTTACGCTTGTCTTCATCAGTGTTTGTCGACCTGGCTACGTTGCTCAGCACGATTCCGTAATGCCTATTCCTCTCACTTCTTTCAGTTGTGTGGCGGACACACTGATACAATGACGCGAGCGGCTCAACTGATTGATGAACAGTGCGAAGTGGATTTCATCGACGTGAATTGCGGCTGTCCCATCGATATGATTTGGCGGAAGGTAAGGGAGTATTCGGCTGGTTTCGTTTCTTCAGGCTGAGGTTTGCTGTACACTCTCTGACTCTTGTTCTCGTGTGTGTGACATTTGCACCCGTTTTTTTACCGGCGCAGCTCTAGGCCTCCATTTTATATATGCATCCTCACCAGGTTATGTGCTAAACGAGCACTACTCAACTATTTACATTATGATTTAACACTGAAGCTTAGAACCCTAATTAGCAAGGTCGGTGTTGTTCTCATAAATGGACAAAGGGGAAATGCGCAAGTAAAATAGCTCTCATGTAGCCGTATCTTTCCGCTACAGTACAGCCTTTCTCATCTCCACTCTGCACCCGTTTGCCAACATTCTGGTGACACCGGCTAAGCGTGGGCTACTCTCGCCATGTGTAGTCCGGCGGGCGAAACCTGTCACTTGGACCATTGGAACCCGATTTGCAGCATAAACGGAGTGCAGCTAAAGCGCTCACTTATTTCGAACATTATAATCACAAGCTGTCCAACATTCGGCTATATGATTACTGTCTGGTGCAAACCACGCCCTTCAGACCCTGCTTCACTTCCGCTCACTTTTACTCGTGGTGTTCTTCATTTTATACTTTTTCCGCCAATTAAACCTGTCTGGAACACGTAAGTCGGAAGGTTTGGCAATCCTTTGTCTAGCTGGTAGAATGCTGGCACCTATCCCCTGAATAGGATACAACATTTATATCAGTACGACACGTTTTATCAGCCCCACTTCTCTCTTCGGTTCCCCCTTATAAGGTGGTATTCAATGCATCGCTCATGATTATTCGTTCTCGTTTTCCACTTCGTCGCCACCACCATCACAACGAAAGGGTGCAGGTTCTGGTCTGTTGCAACATGGATCGCGCCTTGAGTCCATCGTGCGGGGTATGGATTCCGTCCTCACCACCGCCCAGGTAACCGTAAAACTGCGTTCTGGTGTCCGTGAGGGTAAAAATACAGCACATCAGCTGATTCCGGGTCTCAGGCAAGCTGGTGTCTCACTCATAACAGTAAGTTCTCTCTTGTTGTCATCACCTCATGCTGTCCGCTTCGCCACAAGTTAGAATTCGGTTCATTTGGAACTGAAGCTGTACAGCCCATTAGCCAAATTCAGATCACCTCTCGGAAATGTCCTGTTTTAGTTTCAAAATCCCATTTTTGATTATTTTAGTCTCTTGTTCTCTAATTGTGAGTTAAAATCCTTTCAAACAGAGACTTAAAAAGCCGCTATAAAACCACGGCATCTGACTTATGATGTGCCCATGCTCAGTTAGAAAAATCGCAGCGGTCCGGGTTATTTTCATCTGTGTCTCAACTCGTGAACTATCTTGCACCTAGGAACGCGTGCTTCTCTCCATTTCATGTTTCCTTATAGACTTGAGCTTATCACTCAGTACTTCATTACTTCATTGAAAAGTCTTTTGCAACCTTTAAACCTTTCATTACTTCCGGTATCACCTTCCATGCTAACCACACATCCGTAGGTGAAAAGTGTCCTGGTTTAGTCGACCTGTTAAGTAATACTTATACTTTAGGGTGAGGAAATTTTCATGATGTATAGGTTCTCAGAACACCTTAAAACGGTTATCCGGTGGGCGGGGTTACCCCGCACATTGAGACGCTGAAAGATGAGTGAGGTGTGGTGCGTCAGACGCCAACATGAACAAAATATTACTCAATTTCTTACACGATTTGGTCCACTCGCTCTACTTTCGGGTTGGTTTATATTGACGTAACACCATAACACCCAGCTCTTGATGTGATATAAGAAGCACAAGCGCTCTCAATTCAACAGATGCTTGAAGCAACACCACGATGACATGTTACACTTTCTCTTCCATTCTGTGTTATGTCGCACTCTGTTGGTCAGTGTTCTTTCACCTTCCTCTAGATACACGGCCGAAGTCGTGAACAACGCTACACCAAGCTTGCCGACTGGGACTATGTTAGACAATGTGCGGAAATCGCACGTCCCATACCCGTCTTCGGTAAGCGTACTTTGTGTCATTTCGAGTTTAGCTAGTTTTGGGTTCGTCGAAGCGTGAAGCTAAATTTCTCAGAGATATCCTCTATTCTCAACGCGGATCGTCGTTTCAAGCAACTGCCTACTTGGCCAGACAATTCGGTTCTTCACGAGTACTTAGATTTGGAAGGAAATGGAAGGAAACGGATGGCCACATAATCATCCCGCTCATAGTTCGCGTTTACTACTATTTAACCACTCTTTCGTTTTTGCTTTCACCATTCGCTTGTCCGTTTCGTCCTTCCAGGAAACGGTGATATTCTTTCATTGGAAGACTATATGACCCACAAGGAATGCTCCGGAGTTTCGGGCGTAATGATCGCTCGGTAAGTTGTTTGTTTCCTCAGTGGAATAACACGCAGATGATAATCTTCGTCGTGGGATTTTCCCACTAAAAGCTGTTGCCAATGTATCATTCACCACCATCCCACGACGCTCCCCTTAGAAGAAATTTTCAAGCAGAAATTACCTCCTAAAATGAAGCCGTTTTGGTTTTATTAGATGTTTATACAGTGAGAATCGTATCTACAAAGAGTGACCCAGACAGAAACACTTTCTTGGTCTTTTGCACTTATGGAAGAATAACACACTCGTTTTATGGGCCGTCAGATAAATACCAGATCCTTCAGACTACTTGTTTTCTTTATTAGATCAGATCTCCGAAAATAGGCCAATGGAACGAACACATTTCTCTCTTGTATCTTCACCCTCCCTTTCTTCGAAAAATGACGTCATAGCGAAGTTTTCACACAATTCCATTTTGACCCTATCTGTTGATTTTATGGGGGCAAATGAACTAGTGAGTGCCGCGTAAAGTTAGCCCGCCGAGTGCACTCTCCCGACGCAGCTGCTATTTGAAGGACTTTGGCATTTCACAATATATTTCAGAAATTTGAATTAGTGTGAACTCTGTAGAAATCTGATGGTTCGATTCACAAAGGGTTCTGTCGCAGAAGCAAACTAGCAAGTTTGTTCAGGACATGTACTGTGTACAGTTCAGGTCTGCTTACACTAATCTGGACCACCGAAAAACGAGGTGAATAGAGTCAAATGGAGTTCAACAGAGGTCACGAAATTCTTCTTGACTTACTTAACCTAAGTATCAATGTGTGTTTGTTGTCATTATTCACTGGATCGCACATTATGTCGTCCGTCTTGTGAAAATCCTCCTTCTGTCTGTCCATGCAAGTAAGCTATCCTAAAGGGAATTTTTACGGAATCTCCAAGTGGTTAACTTCAGGTCATTTGGTACTAGTCTACTTTGGTCGTTGCTTCGTTCGCTGGGCTATTCAACTTGGTTGCAAACGTCTCATTGCCAATCGAGGTGACATCAACAGCACGTCTTTGGAAAACGGAGCGAGGCGTATAAGTCCGTTAGTAGTTGTGCGCAGAGTGGTGATGTGCGTGTGGTCATATGCTTGCTGGCAGCGACACCGACCAACAGGGCGGTTCTACTGGTGGGTCCGTCATGTGGTGTTCTGATTTGTCAGTGTCCACGTGACCCCTGAGCTCAATCTCTTCTACCTTCATCCATCAGTCACCACCGGAGTGAGCTCTTACCCTGATCCACCCAGTATCCACGCTGAAACCTTCTCTGATGTACTCGTGGAAGTCATCATCATCATCATCGACAGCATGACATCAGTGTTCAACACCAATGCTTCACTGCCGTAGCAATTCATGGTTGTACGTGGGCTGGGATACTGCCAGGGCGCCCACACCTAGACAGGAGGACGATTAGGGTCCTCAACCAAAGCCTTTGGCTCAAAAGCCTAACCACAAGGCAGC